AAGAATGAGAAGGTGGCTGGCGGGCCAGGGGGCTGGAGAGATGGAAAACGTGGGTTATAGGCCCTGAGGGCTTCCTGGGACTGGACCTGCCCCAGTGGAATGTGCGTCACCCAAGGGACTGGGGACATTGTTTCAGTGGGATGTGGCTTTAAACTTGAATGAGAGGAGCATTTGCTGGGCATTGGTTGATAAGGATATGAGTCCTGCCAGGCCAGCCTGGGCCTGCCTTAGCTCCAGGATGCCCATGGCAATCAGAGCAGGGAACCCGCTACTCGGGGGCTGTTGGGCCTGTGGAAGCCAGGCCAGGCAATGCCTGGCTCCCAGCCCAGCGGCCCAGCAAGGGGTGCTTGGGTGCGCCAACACTGCAAAGCCAGGGAGAGCTGAGGCAGCCCACGTGGCCTCAGGACGCTGCTGGGCAGACCACGTGCACAGCTGGGGGCCACCTCAAAGTGCTGTGGGGGTGCTGAAGAGTGGCTGCCACAATCCAGGCTTATCTGTCAGAGTTCATGCCTAGGGACCATCCAAGGTTTGTTCTGCACTGAGTTCCCTCCAGCTCTGGGGGTGTGTCCGTCCCCCTCCTCCAGGACTTGGTGACTGGGGCTCTCCCTACACTAAGCCAGCTACACAGCAGCCCCAGAATCTGAGCAGGAGACACTAAGAAGTGTCACCCCACTGTCTCTTACCCACCAGACTGCCTGGGTTTGGACCCTGGCCCAGCCACCTGCTGGGTGAGCTACAGCAGCTCTGAGCCTCGATCTGCTCTATAGAGTCACCTCCCAAGCCAACTCCCATGGGACACTATAAAGGAGCCTAATTGGCATCAGCCATTCACTCGGCAGATGTCTCCTGAGCGCCTGCTCACAAGCTCCTCCTCTCTCAGAGCCTGCGTTATAGTCAAAGGGACTGGCGGTACCCACAGTGGGTGGAAGGGCACTGTGAGGCATGAAGAAAGATGAAGCTGGGAAGGGGACTGTAAGTGCTGGGGGACTTGACAGAGGAAGTCCAGGACAGCCTCACTGGGCAGCTGTCCCACCCGAGTCAGGATTCAAAGAAAGTTTGGGAACAGGCCGACGGGCTCCCCTGGGCAGGGACTGAGTGTTCCAGGTGGACAGAAGAACCAGTACAAAGGCCCTGAGGCAGGAATGTGTCTGGCAGGTGTGAGAAGTAGCAGCTTCCAATGTGGCTACAGCAGGTAAGGTGGGAGAATGGCAGGAGGTGTCCCCAGGTGCCCCCAGAGGGGCCCTGATTCTGAGTGGCGTGGGAAGCATGGAGGACTTATGGAGGAATTGAGCTGAGGGGTGACATGGTCTGATGTGTATTTTTAAATGATCATTCCTTCCACTGTTTTGCAATGGACCATAGAGAGCAAGGACAGAAGCAGGGACACCAGCCAGGAGGCCACAATCCAGGTGAGAGATGGGAAGGGTTGGCCCAGGCTAGCAGCAGGGGAGAGGGCGAGGGGGCTCAGAGTCTGGACGTGTTCTGAAGGCAGTGCCCCCAGGGTGTGCTGATGAGATGGAGGAAGAGGCGTGGAGGAAAGAGGTCAATCTAAAATAAGGCCAGGGGTTGGGACCTGGGCCGGGGCCCCAGTGGCCCTCAGCACCGCTCACCCACAGCAGCAGCACGTCGGCAGTGCCAGCAGGCAGAGGGTGGAGGACAGGGCCAGAGGACAGTGCTGCCCCACTTTCCTGGGGCAGCAGCACGAAGAGGTAGAAGCCCCGTGGCTGCTGCGTGGCCGGCTCACCAAAGGCGTCTACAGAGAACACGCTTTCTGTGCACGGCCAGTCACGTAGGAGGGCAGCCGCCGGTGGCTGGGAGGCTGGCCCCACTTTCCACCGAGCAAGCCAGCAGGTGGCCTGGGACGGGAGCCTGCTGCCCACCTCCCCCACCGAGGCTGGGCGGTTGCAGGCCTGGCCTTCCCTGCAAGATGGGAAAAGATGGGGCCCCCACCCCAGCCCCCGTGAACACTCAAGGCTCCGGCTGCAGCACACTTGAAAGAGGCCGGGGGTTATCTGCAAAACTCCAATTAAATCCACAGGCTTTGATAATTTGATAAGCCACTCCACAGTCGCCCCAGAGTCAAAATACACTGTTATTTGATCCTGTGTTTATGTTCAGAAAGGTGCAGGCAGCTCGAGAGGCAGGGGGCAGGCACCAGGCTGACAGACCATCAGCCCGCCAGCCCAGGGTCGCCCACGGGGCTGGGCTCCACTCTACAGGGCAACCTGGGTCTCTCTAGGTGGGACCCGGAGGCCGAGAGAGGGCAGGGAGCAGAAGCCACTCAGAACTGCCTGGCCGCAGCTGGCCCCACTCTCGAGCCTCAGGCCTGTTTAGTGCTGGACGGGTTCCTGTTCTCCGGCAACAATCTCTTGCCAGACCAATGGTGAACCAGCCGGGGTGACTGATGCCACCTCAGGAAAAAGGCAGATAACCCCCCTGCCATGGTGACTTGGAGGCCAAACGCGTTAGAACTGCCCCTGCAAAAGCCAGGCTGTGCTCTGCAGCGGTGGGACACGCATGGAGCCACATTCCGTTCCGTGCCACCGCCTTTCCCTGAACCAAAGTGCTGAGCGTTCCCACGTGCCAACGGAACCTGGCCGGGCAAGCACGGAGCCCTCGTGACCGCTCTCCGAGTCCCACATCTCGTTTGAGGAACGGAAAGACAGGAAGGCACACAGGTTGAACAGCGGTCGGAGGTCGCAGGGCTGAGTGGCAGGCCCCGACCCCAAGCCTGGCCCCGCAGAACCATGCCTGCTGGTGCCCAGCTGTGTCCCCAGGCCTGGTCTGCACCATTCTCGAGGGCCTTGTGGGGACAGGCAAAAGGCTAACCCGCCTGAAGGGCACAGGCTGACAGGTGAAATAGGGCCAATGTATTCAGCTGACTGGCAGAGAGGGGGGCGCAGAGGCACAAATCTAGGAGGGTCAGTTGATTTTGTGGCAATTCTCCTCTTATTTCACCCATCAGCTGCGGTCCCTCTCCCCTCCAGTGGGTACGTGATTGCAAGGGACTCCAATGACAACCCTACGGAAAGGGCATCTCTCTCCCATAAAGAAGGAGAGCAGGAAGCTCTGAGAGGCCACCCAGAGTGGCAGAGCTGGGGACAGACTGAGGGACAGTCTTGAGAACCTTCTTCCGCCCTGGGAGAGTGGAGGAGGCCTGGCAGGGGTGCGCAGAGAGGGTGGACAGAGAGGACGCAACGAGAGGCAGCGGGCCCACGGTCTGGTCCCCCGACTCCCCCCAAACCCTGGAGGCAGGTGGGAGGAGTGGAAAGACTATGGGCCTGTGACACCAGCAAATTGCGGGTTCTGTCCCACTGCAACTGAAGGCCTCAGTTTCCTTATCTGAGATGTGGGGATAAGGATGTAAAACCCTTGGTGCAAACTCTCTCATGAGCCTAGCACATAGTAGGTGCACGTAGTAGGGAGAGCAACGCCTCTCGCTCTGGTGAGAACACACATTTGTAACCCATTCTGATGTTTGCCAAGCTCCTGCCCAGCCCTCCTGTCACCTGAGTTTCTAGGCAACCCCTGGAGGTAGCAAGAGCAGGGATTCATTACCATCCCTTTGTATAGATGAGAAGACAGAGGCTGAGGGAGTATCTGCCTCTGAGTTGTGTGACCAGCGAGCAGCGGAGTCACACAGGAACTCCACCAGTGAATTTCTGAAGGTTCGTACCCTTTGCTTGTTTCCTATGCTCATGGCAGCCAGCAAGGGAGACGGCCTTTGTCAGGCCAGGCGCGCCTCTCAGCCCCACAATGCTTTTTCCTCGACCTCTAAGGGCCCAGGCCTTTTCAGGCTTCGTCTCACAGTGTGAGTGAGGAGAAGGGCCCTTTCGGAAGGACCGCAGTGTGTGGGTGTGCAGGCCGGGCACTGTTCACAGGGACACACGCCCTTGTCTTCAGGCTTTCTCCTCCCCATCACCAGATGGCACCTGCCTCTCCCTGCCTGTCCCAGGCAGTTCCTTTGGACTATTCTGTCCTTTCCCTCTATAGTACCATCCCATCTGCCTCTCTGTCACCCACTCTGATACATTAAGATTTCAGGGGAGCAGAGGCACGAAGTAAGGTGACCCATCAGCACCCCCTTCAAGTCCTGTCCCCTGCCCCCTACTCTTCCCCAGCTGTCTACCTGTGCTCATCAGATCTTTGGTGGAAACTAGATTCTTCTCGCCACTGAGAGCCTTCTCTGGAGTATGTAGGTGAGAGAAGTGTTCTGAGCAAGAACAGATGGAGTTTGATCACGTGTGAGAAGCCAACATGCCTGGACGGGTCATCTGGACCCCAGGTCCAGAGTAATCCACTTCCAGGAAGAAAAAAGACCTGCTTCCCTCCCTATTTCTCCCCAAACATGGCAACGACAGTCAGCCCGAGCCACTAGGAATCAGAGGCTCAGGTCCAAGTTTCACGCCTGTTACCGCACACCCACCCTGTTTATGACCTTAGGAAAAATCACCTGACTTCACTGGGCTCCAGTTTTCCTCTCTGCAAACAGGGCTACTAATGTCCATCACAAAACGCTGCAGGTAAAAGCCATTCGGTGAGGGCTCCATGCACGCTCGGCGGCATCTTCGACGACGGCTAGATCGGGGGTGGCAGCTCAGGACAGCGGCGTTACCCTGCGGGCACGTCACCCACCCGAGCAGCATGTGCACTCGGCCTGCATTCCCACTGGCAGCCTGCGACCACCAACAGCTAAGAGCAATGACTGCTAAGCTGGGGCATCTGAAAGGCGTGACCATTACATCTTCTGTTTCCTCGTCTGACCCTTATAACCTATGAGCTAGACAGCGTTTGCGGGAAAACCTGCTGCCCCAATGCAGAGACACCTGCCTTTTCCAGCCTGGGCATAAGGGGAAGCGAGGAGTCAGCTCTGGCCACAGGAGTCTGGGAAGTGGTCCCCATCCTGCAGCGCATCTCTCCTTAGCCTGCGCTCCCTCTCCCTGTGCCCCACATCCTGACGCCCGGGCTGGCCTCCGAGTTAGCCCACACCTGCCACTTACTCTTTTGGGGGGTTGACATCCTCTGGTCGGGCCTCAAAGAACTGGAAGACTTCATCGCACTGTGAGATGTGGGGAGGCAGCCGGACCAGCGCCTGCGGAGAGGTGGAAGGAAGGGTGTTAGGCCTGAGGAACCGGGAAAACCGAGAGCGGGGTCAGCTTGGGCCACCGGTGATGCGGAGGCTCCAACACTGTGCTGTGGAAGACGGTTAACCAGTCACCCACCCATCCAACCGACACCCAATCAATGGATTAATGCCAATCAGCCAACTAATGAAACAGTTCTTCATCTGTCTATCCCATCAACTAACCAACCAGCCAATTAATCACTAACCAGTCAACCCATAAAAATAACTAAAAAAAAATTCAGTCACTCTATCAATCATTCAGCCAATAGTTCAACCAACCAACCATCGGCCATCCAACTAGCCAGTCAACCAACTAAACCATCAGCCAGTCAAACAAAAACAAAGAACCACTGAACCCTGGGTCTCAGAGCCCTCGGGAACTACTCGTCCTGCAGGAACCCTGAACGAATTCCCTTCTGCCCCAAAGTCCAAGATCCTAAGTCTGGCAACCCCAGGTCTTCTCCCAGCAGCTGCAGTCCAGCTGCACCAGGTACAGTCCCTAAACATGGGCTGCACGATCTGCCTTGTGATAACAAACTGGGAATTCTACCAAGGGCTACAGGGCGCTAGCACACTGTCTGACGGGACCTGGATAGTTTAAAAGGGACAGAGACTTTAGAGACTCTGAAGCTGAGTTCCGAAGGGTGGGTAAGAACTAACTGGTCAAGGTCGGTGGAGATCAAGTCGGAGGTTCCAGGGGCTGAGTGAGGTCAGTGTGCCCTGAGAGCACTGAGCAGGGGGCAGGTGGCAAGAGCCTGAGAGAGCAGGGTCTCCTTTAGGGTCAGCAGAGGATGCCTGAAGGAGCAGTACAAGCTGGAGGGTGCAGAAATACTTCTTAGAGCAGTGGGCATGAGCTGGGCCAGAGGGGTTCCCTGATCTGAATAGGCAGAGAGGAGAGGAATGTGTATCCCTTGAGGAATAACTGTCCAGGGAGGGGAGTGGACCCGCTCTGAACTTAGTGTCCAGGGCAGACCCAGAGTCTGGTGTGGGGAGGGGAGGGATCACGGTCAGAAACTGGCAAGAGTTCCTGCTACACACCAGCACAGACCCCACGCCTTGCGGCCTGGGGCACAGAGGACCCCTGACCAGGCCCAGGCAAACAGGGAGGGGCAGGCAGGGGTGTAGGGTGAGGCAAGGGGGAGCCCTGCTCCCTGGGCCCCTCAATTCAGTATGAGGAGAAAACACTGGAGTGACCCTTTGGTCCAAACAAGAGAGGTCACTGTCAAAGCAGGGCTGAGGGACAGGGCCAAGGGAACTCCGGGCTGGAGCCGGGAGGTAGAGGGAACCCCAGGACTGCAGCAGAGTGAGGGACTGCACACAGAGGAGCTGTGGCCAGCGGTCGGTCAGTCAGGACCCTTTCACCAGCTGTGCCTCCCCAGCCCCCTCCACCAGGACTGCTTCGGGCACAATGGCACCCAGTCCTGCACTCCCGAGCCAAGCATGCTGGGGCCTCTAGGTGTGGTCACTGGGAACTGTCACAACGAGGTAAGGAGGGCAGCTCTCATCTGCATGTCTCGGGTTTGGGGACAGAGGCCGAGGGCAGCCCCTGAAGGGTGGGAAAGACCGTCGCTGGAAGGCAAGCTCCTCATGCGCTGGGACTTCAGCTCGATCTGTCAGCTGTGTCCCGATCCCAGGAGAATGCTCGGCATGGCGCGGACACTGAGTACGTACCTGTCTGACTGAATGGAGGCAGGAAGGAACAAATAAGGGCCTTGGTGTGCAGAAGCCCAATACCCACAGTAGCGGGACGTGACATGATGAAGGGGCAAAAAGCACATGTGTGCTAGGGTTGCAGTGGCACTGCCGTGTGAAGGAGGAGGGGGGTGGCAGTTTAACTCTTCTCTGAGCTGATCAGGTAACATTCAAGTGCAGCACCAAGCACCAGACATCCTGCCACAATGGCCCCGCTTGTGCCAAACCCGCAGCTGGGCGGGACGAGACCAGGCCCTGCCATGACAGGTAGGACAGCGTTGCACAACCCCCAGCAGTTCCTTCAGAGCCCGAGGCTCCCCTCAGGCCTCTAACAGCTCACCTCCGAGCAGACAGCCAGGGCACAGAACGGAAGGGCAACGAGAGTGGAAGGAGCAGCTGCCGCGCATCGGGCTGTGTCCTCGGCCCCCGGTGTGCCAACACCCGACAGACAACGAAGGCTCTTCAGGCTGTGCCTGGCACCGGGCTGTGCCCTGGTGTGACAGGGAGGAGCCAGACACAGTCCAGCACCCACAAGAGCACATCTCAGGATGTGTCGGCCATTGGGGCCTCGAGGCAGACGTCATTGTCTCTGTTTATCATGGGGACGCAGAGGCTGTTGGGGGGTGAACTGCAGTGAAAGAAAGTGGCAGGCTGAGGCCCTGTGCTCAGAAGGTAGAATGGGTGGGACTTGCCTGCACAGAGTTCAAGTTTTCATTTAACACATGTGGAATGTGCTGTTTCCTTCCCGAGGAAGGGCAGAAGGAAAAGGAAAAGAAAAACTCAGGCGGCAGAGAGGAACAGAGACAGAGTTGGAGGAGAGAGAGAGACGAAGAGAGATGCAGAGAGGTGGAGACATGGAGAGGCAGGGACAGGGAAGTGGGCATCGGGCGTGTGCAGACCGAGTGCTCCCGGCAGGAGGCAGGAGGGTTTCAGAGGGAGCACTAATGGGCAGCGATGGGCAGGAGGCAGGAGGAACCCATAACCAGGGACCGTTCTGTATGCAGAGTCGCTGCCAGGGTCACCTCCCTTCCAGGACAGGGCGGGGATGCAGGCAGGTTTCCAGGCGGCCCAGAGCACTGCCACCCACCCAGGCGCAGACCCGGCCAGGCGTGGCTCCCCCAGCACCAGTGGCAAACACAGCGGCTCTTCATGCCGACAGAGACCGGCATTCTGGGGGCAGAGGACACGTGGGCTGCGAGGGCCGCAGACAAAGGGGCCTTTTGGTGGAGCCACTGCAGACATCTTTATTTAACAAGGAGCCCTGAGGGGAACCACATCGAGGACTTGTCCTGATTTCAGGCTGACAAGAGGCTCTCAGCTCAGAGCAACTCCCATCAGAGCGGCCGCCAAACCCATCTCTGGCCAAAGTCTTTTGGCAGGAGAGCCGGTGCTGAGCAGTCCCGGAGGCCTGGGCTCGGGACGAGCGCCAGAGCCGGGGAACCCCCACACCCAGCCACTCTGAGGAGCAGGTGGGGGCCCACACATGGGCACTTCTGGGGCACCAGCCCTGGCTCAGGCCTAAAATTCTGCCATTGGACATTCAAGATGTATGCCAGGGGGTGGTTAAGTCAGGGCCTCGGGGCCAGAGAGACTTGGGTTTGGGTCCTGGCTCTGCCGTTCACAGGCTGCCTGGCGCCGAATGCATCATTCGCCCTCTCTGAGCTCCATGCAGTGGGTCTGACAGGGCACCGCCTGTCCGCAGGTTACGGGAGTACGACAAGCCCAGCACAGTGCCTGCCAATGTCAGCTGTGGCACTGCTGTCCACGCCGCTGGCAGTCCTCAGGTGACGGCAGTGAGGCTCACTGGAACGAGTACTGGAGGCGAAGTCCACAGATGTTGGTTCTACTGTCAGTCCTGCCCGTATATACTTGTGAGACCTTAGGTGGCTCACCTCACCTCCTTCTGAGGACAGGACAGACTGGCTCTGGAATCTCACGCTGTACCTCCTGGAATGCCTGCGTAGTGAGGTAAAATGAGTTCTGTGGGCACATGTGGAAGGAGGTCTTGGAGACGCCCTCTGGTCTGGGAGATCACCAGGTTCACCACCGTGGCGAAGGCGCTCCGGAGCCCTGCAGGAAGGAAACCCACGGGGCTAACTCACCCACCGGTTTCCTTCCTGCGGGGCTGTGTTCAGGCCAGCTTTTACTAGTCAAATGACCTCCCAAGGCGCTGCCTCATTTAATCATCGCATTAACTCCAAGAGATGGGTCTGACTATGATGCCAATTCTGCATTAGAAGAAACTCAAGCGCAGAGGTTAAGTAACTTCCCCAGACCGCAAAGCGAGTAAGCAGCAAGCCTTTAAACGAGGCCACCTAGTCCCGAGTGCCCCCTGCTCTGTCCGACCCCCTCCTCTGTGCCGCCTCCCCCGCTACCCACGGGTGTCTGTCTGGCCGGGGAGCTGGTTTCCCAGAACAGTTCCTGCTGACAGTTCATGGAGTGCAGCTGGGACAGATCGGGACTAGGGACACCCTGAAGTTTCTCCCAGCCCTGGCAGCCACTGGCTCTAGGACTGTGAACAGCACCCCAAACGGTGAATTTACCAGTCAGTCGAATCGAGCCTTTCCAATAGAGCTGTGACTCAGGTGAGGCTGGAGGGTCTGGAAGGCCCCAAGGGGGGAGAGGGCTGGGATGAGCATGACCTCAGAGCCCTCAGCACCTAGGGAGGGGCCACTGCCCTGTGGAGCTGCGTAGAGCACTCAGGGTGCCAGCTGAGCTGACGTCAGCCCCCTCCCAACTTGCCATTCCGTGGCGCGGGCGGTGGGCAAGCTGGCTGGGAACAGATGTGGAGAAACAGGTGAGCGAAGAGGCCAAGGGCACTGGGCACCTGGGACCGGGAAAGGCACTCAAGAGCCACCCATGTTTGTCGTCGGCCAGGACTTCCAGTGCCTCCCTCTCCTGGTCCCAACCTGCCCTGATGTCTCTAGCTCCTGGCCCCCGAGATCATTATCTGGGAGCCAGTGACCTGGGCCACCACTTGGCACCATGTCATCATTCCAGATGGCGCAGATTTAGATAAGGGAGGGGGTGGCTGAATTGGGAGTCCCTGAGACCTCCTCCCAGATGCAGCGGGCCCAGGTCTGCCTCTGCAAGTGGACCAGCGTGGGAGGGGGCCCTAGCCAGGCTGGGTTCAGACCCTCTGCTTCGAATGAGCCCGCCACAAACCCCACAGCTCCGGGTAACGCCTGTCCCAGGACAAAATGCAGAGTTCTGCGTTCTGCACAATGACAGTGGGAGCCCTGCTCTTTACTCAGGATCAAACGTTTTCCTCCTCTCCGCAGCATCACTGTGGTTCCTGATCAATGGACATCTTACAGGTAAAAGCCTGAAGACTCTGGGTGCGGTGGAGGTGTGTGGCGGGGGGTGGAGTCCTGCCTGTCTGGCCCCCGACTCTCGGACCCCCTCCCCACTCCTGGGGCAGCCTCTATCCTGCCCCGACTGTTCCTCCTAAGTCACCTTTCAGGAAGCTGGGAGCTCACTGGATTTCTGTAAACCAGAGTATTTCAAACACACTGGTTCTCCTTCTGAAGGATTTTAGGCAGCAAAACCTTTTGAATTGGAAATAGTGTCTAATTTGCAGTTGCCATTTAAGCCATTTCACAAGGTATCCTAGTACCTTGGGGCCTTGGGACATGTCACCCACTTCAGAGGCTTCCTCTGCTTGTATGTGATCTTTGCGTGTTGTCCTCAGATATGGGCCGGACGCCCACGTGGGGCCACGCTTCCTGCTGGTCCGTGAAGACACAAAGATAACAAGAGCTTCTGGTCTGGAGAAGGTGAATACCCAGAAACTACGCTCCTACGGGGAATAAGCGTGTGATGTGGCAGCAAACACAGGGCTTTCTGGGGAGCAGAAGAGATGGAGTGAACGGTCAGCTGTCCCTGGGGAGCCAGGAGGCTCCTGGGAGGGGCACCATGGACTCTGACCGCTTCCCCAGGCCAAGGCGGAAGCCAAAGGGCGCCTGGCTGGTTGGGAATGGCTACACTTCTGGCAGACTGGACCGCAGGGTGTGAAGGAGAGAGGTGGGAGCTTCGGCCTGAGCAGCACTTGGAAGCACCCCACAGAGGGCCTGGCTGAGCTGCTCAGAGGTTCTTACGGACCATGGGGCTCCTCTGAGGGCCTTTAAAAAGGAAGGGACAGGCTGGAAACTCCTTCTCCTGCACCTGTCTGGACCAGAGCAGATAAAGAGCTTCTACCCACTGGGTTACCCCAGAGGAGCAGAGTGCTGGGGAGGCAAGGACGGATCCGTCTTGGCTTTCTGCCTCGGCCTTCCCTGTTGGCCATAGACTTACTGCCCTGTCTGGGACTGAGCACGCCAGGGGTCCCGGGTGCCTCTCACAGGAGTCCATTTGGGTTGCAACACGAACCTTTCTCTTTATTAATGAGAGCCAGTGGCGGGCCATGGCGGAAAATTCCCTCGGTTGGGGGGAGAGTACCTGGGACCAAGAACCACCACAAGTAATGGTCTCTGCTTGGGAATGAAGTGAGGGTGAAAATGAACGAGCCCGTGAGATGTGGAGGGTCGGGTGTGGGGGTCCTTACCCTTTACAGGCTGACCCCCTTGTTGGGTCTGCAGTCCTGCCCCTGTCTAGATACAGCCCGCCCCTCACTCCTCCCACAAAGAAAGCCACTGACCCTGAAAGCAAGTCTATGGCTGACAGCAGAATAATAGAAGCAAGCTCAGCGTTCAGACAGCAAAAAAACTGTCATGCCCGCCAGGAAAGAGAGGCTCGTATAGACGTCATTAACATGGCCAAGGGGGAGGGATCGTTCTCAGACACTTTCACCCCCAGCACCCGACCCCCGGGATATTTATATTATCCCCTAGACAAATACTGCAAACATGCATTTCACAGGCAGGGATGGGGTGAAGCACATCACTTGTAAAATTGTTAGTCCGAGGCCCTAACATATAGCTCATGCTTCTTAGTAAGATGAAAGTTTTCAACTTGTTGAGGCCACGGAACCATTAAATATTAACCACATAGCCATGCTGCCTATTAAATTAATTTATGGAGTTAAAGAAATGCCTTTGGAAGAAGGCTTGATAGACACCTGGACCTCAAGTGCCACATAAAACAATCACCGGCTGGCACTCGGGAAATTTTCCATGACGCTCATCCAATCTGCTGCCTGTATGTTTAAAACGAACACTGAGACGTGGGCTGTGAAATCACCACAAGGCAGGGGGACTGCCTGGCCGGCGAGGGCAGGGAGCCTGGAGTCTGGGGGGGTCCCCGGCACTGTCAGACTTTCCACATCTGCGTCCTGGCAGAGGGGCTGGCTGCTCTGTGCGCACCGCCAGCCTCCCGGTTTTGGGTGCGTGTGAATCCCCAGCAAATCCCGGGCTCAGAGCACACTCAGTCCAGCAGGTCCAAGGGAGAGGATGTTGGCCAGCCCAGCAGAGCTGCCTATGCAGGACACTGCAAATAAAAACCCCAGAGACTCTAAGGACAGGCACAGACAGGGCTGGCCATGGACTGGAATATACATGGCACGGACCGTGGACTTTGCTGTGGGAAGCAGTGATATTGAGGAAAATGCTGGATCCTGAGTGGCCATGGATTGGGCTATTGGGTGGCAGAGCTGTGAAACGCAACCCTGAGTGGCAGTGACCATGACCGTTATTGCCTTATTCCTAATGAGCATTCCAAGGTCATTCTAAGGTCTCAATCAGACCACAGACCTCGGCTTTCTTGCTCAGCAGAATTAAAGGTCACTTCTGTGCTGCCCTGCCCCCCACCATTCTCAGGGTAAATATGGCCTGTAAGATGTCTGGCTGCTTGGTGACCCCATGACACTGCCCCTTACTCATCACCTGGCTCCGAGTCCTTCTCATCCGAGCTAATCGGGTTAGAAGGCTCCTCCTCCTGCAGACCCCACTTAACTGGTGCCCTCAGCCACCAGCAGCATCCCTGGGGCCCCCAAGTCCCCCTGGATCTCATCCTGACTCAGGAATCCTGTTCAAAGCCTGCTCCGGGGAGATAAGATGTTATCGGTTTCTAGACGATCTCACGGAGACTTGGCTGCAGATGCCTGGGCTCCGCCACCCGGGCCAACTGGAGCTGTGACTTCTGGCTGGAACATGCCTCATCCTGTCCTCAGTCCCCTCCTCCATTAGCTTTGCCCATTTATTTAACTTCTTGGGAAAGGAATAAAGAGAAATCGAAGCTCAGGCTGTAGCCATCAATTTAACTGGACACGGCAAATGCCCTTTAGAAAGAAAGATGAATTCAGGCACACTTCCTATCATTGTGCTTCACTCTATCACGCGGAATAGATGCTGCCTTTTTTACAAATTGAAGGCAAGACCCTCTACCGGCAAAGAGATTACGATACTCGCTTCAGTGCAATGCTCTAGACCCAAACCTGCAGCATCTCCAAGGTCTGCCTGTGCTGACCGGAAGGAAAGGAGCTCCTGGTTTAAACCATCATTGGGCCATCGTTTCCGGTGGAGGCACAAAACGTCACCAGTTTAACCTGCACGGCCACAGGACTCAGACTCAGGTTAGAGTGAGTGGGAGCGCCTGTCTGCCCGCAGGCCTTAGAGCGCCAGTTACTCAATGTAGCAGCATGATTCTCTTTTTAAGAAAGATTTTATTCATTTATTTTTAGAGAGAGGGAAAGGAAGGAAGAAAGAGGGAGAGAAATATCAGGCAGTTGCCTCTCGCATGCTCCCCACTGGGGACCCCGGCCCACAACCCAGGCCTGTGTCCTGACTGGGAATCGAACTGGTGACCTTTTGGGTCGCAGGTTAGTGCTCAGCCCACTGAGCCACACCAGCCAGGGCAGAACCTGATTCTTATTTAAGTATTTTTATTGTCAAACATAGTGATGGAACTTTACAGTAACCACTCTGTGGGGTACGGGGTATTTCAGAGTGACAAACACTGGGATAGATGTTCTCTTACTCAACCCCTCTCTTGAACCCTGTGAAAGAGTTGTTTTCACCCCCCTTTTACAGACGAGGAGACTGGGGCTTAGAGAGGCAAAGTAACTCTCCCAGAGTCAGAGCCAGCTGGCAGGGCGGTGGGATCCGACCCCAGCTCCGATGCTGGCACTCCCCACAAAACGTCACCCCGCTTGCCTCGCCTCAAGATCCTTGAGTCTGACTCCACGGTAGCTTTCGCTTAACTGAGAAATCCCATCTCCGATAAAGCCAGTGAAGCCCAGTGGTAACACTCAGTTTTCCTGCCTTGTACTGACAGTAACCCAAATGTAGCGTCTGCTGAATGCCTCGCCCGCACCTCTACTGTCAGGTCATTTCGCCCTCCGCCGAGGGTCTACTCTCCTCCCTGAAGGGCACATGTGCAAACGGGGGCTCCAGGAAGCAAAGTAACTTGCCCGAGTATCTGAAGCTAGTGAGGAGCTCAAACTACCCAGAGACCCGCTCACTCTCGCTGCAGGGGTCCTGGGCCCTGCGATTCGCACTCACGCTCAAATCTGCTCCTGGCTTTAGCTGTTTTAATGCACGTGCCCACGTGTGCTCTGTGCGTGTGCATGCATAGGGTACATCTGCATCTATAAAGATGCGTCCATGAACATCTGTAACTATCAAGACTTCTGTGAATAAACAAATGATGCCTTGCGAATGTTCTTGAACTCAGCACCGATTCCAACAACATCCCAAAAGGAATTCAAAGCGATAGTTCTAGGCCCAGCAAAATGCCGCAACATACAGAATCCCTTCAGGAGGAAGCTGCTTCACTGAGCTCCCAAGCCAGTGGAAGCGATTTAAAATAGCATTTTGTAAACATGGACATGTCCCAAAAGGAGTAGAGGCTTAGCTGTGAGTCCAGTGCAGTCTTGCCCTAGAAGAGGGCAGCCCAGTCATGGGGTGGCCCCTCCCCAAGGGACACCCGTACCCACCCCCCTGGCTAGGAAACACCAGGCTCCTGGGTGCAGCAGGGGGTCCATACAGACAGCCTTCCTTCACAGACGGGCAGGTGAGGTGACCCCCAGCCCCCGAGAGCCCCGGACTCAGCCTCACCCGGCAGTACTCATCGATGGGCTTCAGCCTCCTCACAGCTACGTCCCGGATGTGGCTTCTCCGGAAGAGGATTTTGCCTGGAAGAGAAATAGCCAGGTGATTCCAGGTAAAGCTGCCGCAGGGACCTGGGACCCCTACCACCTCAGTCCCCTCTCCCTTGGCCACCACTTCTGCTCACTGTCAAGGCAACAAAGGAATAGTCACCTCGCTCAGAGGGCAGGAGGCACCCAAATCTGAGAGCCCAGGCCCTCTCGGGCAGATGAGGAGCCCTGGAGGCTGACATCTTGTCCAGGTCACCTCGTGTGGGTCAAATGACAGGATCGATCCCAGACATGGGCACAGCTCCCAAGAGGCCTCACAAACAAATACAAAGGAAGGCCCAACCCAACACTGTGTTTTGTTTTCAGGCCTGTCCCTTCTTCAGAAATCGGCATTAGTTCCTGCCAGCCGGGCAGGAATTCCTATTCTTAGTTTAGGTGGGTGGCTATTTCCAGGGCGTCACAGGCCAATGCCAAGGCGGCCTGGCGGCCCCAGCCTGACTGCTCCGCGGCCTCTCTGACGGGCAGCCTCCAGACGTCCAGGCCACCGCTCGGCTGGGCTGACAGACCCTTTGACGGGAGTGGGCAAGGCTCACAGAAATGCCAGCCCCTCGAACCTTCCCAGAAAGCTCCTCTGGGCTAGCCGAATTCAATGATAACAAATAGATCAATGCAAAGTCCTTTTACAGTCATTAAATTTTAGAATATAAGCTCTAGCCCTGGCTGGGTAGCTTAATTGGTTAGAGCATTGACCCGATACACCAAAGTTGTGGGTTTGATCCCTGGTCAGGGCACCTACAAGAATCAACTGGTGATGCATAAAGAAGTGGAACAACAAATCGATGTTTCTCTCCCCTCGTCTCTCTTTTACCCTTTCTCTCTCACTCAAATCAATAAAAAAAAGAAAGAAAGAAAACCTGGAACTTCTAGCAGCCATCTTTATTCTTGCCTAAGAAGGAAACCAACTGAGAGAAAGGATCTGTGCCCGATAAATGTTTCTTGATGACTGAAAAGCAAACCCGAGAGACAGCGCAGGGCAGATTGCTCTGACATCATCTCAGCACCTGGATCTAGGTGTTTCCAAACGCAGGGTTTACCTGGTGCTTTTACGTGTATAAAGCAAGACAATTAGTTTTTATTTAAACTAGCTGGAGGTGGGGTTTCATCACTGGCACTGAAGGAATCCTAATGGAGATAACAGCCATGGCGTGTGAAGGAACTTATAGACCACGTGTGAATCCACTTACACTCCCTCCATCCAGGCCCAACTGAAGTACAAGGAAAGGCGTTGCTTCCCCAGGTCGTTTCCCCAGAAGCAGACGGGGAGACGAAGGGTCGAATGAATGCAAGCTGTCCATCTGGGAGGTGACCCTGGAAGTACCAGCAGGGGGATGGGGAAGGAAGGCAGGGAAGGGGAGGGAGTATCACAGAGCCGTTAGCCACTGTGTGGGTCTCCAGAGCGCAGTTCTGTCATGGAACCTGGGGGGACCGTGCAGACCGCACCTCAGAGCTCTGCCAATCAAGGGCGAGGAGACACAGGTATTTATCCACCACCCCCTGGCTTGTCATTGCGCTTCCAAGCACATTAGCTCCATGGCACCTCTAGCTGAGTGTGTCCCCTGTGGCTAGAACAAAGCCCCCAGTTGCTCCCAGGAGCAGCCTCTGGCAGGCAGAGGTGGATGGTGAGGGGACCTGGGAAGCCGGGGCGGTGGGGGGGTGGGTACTGACGGCAGCTACAACAGCCACCCCCGACTTCCCTGCCACCGCAGGTTCTGGTCACCAGCCCTGCTCCAGGGGAACAAGCAGTTAACGCATCACGCTGCGTGAGACTGGTGTCCTATTTGTGCCTCTCATCTCCGCACACCACGTGGACGGGAGGCCACGGTCTGCAGCGCCTTCCTCTCCTGGCACCATTCACTCCACCCAGCACAAGGCTCTGCCTGCAGCGGCTGCCCCGTGGGCACTTGCTGGCCCGCTCCCGTTCCTCCCCGAGACTCTCCCTCAAGCTCCCCTTCCTCCCTTTCTCTCTGAGGCCAGGCAAAGGGGCCACCTCCCCAGCAGAGGGACGACACTGTGTGGACTGGACACTGTCACTGAGATAAAGGGGCTGTACCACGTGTTCCTTTTGAAAGGAGATAAAACGTGATTTATCAGGGCACTGGAGACGGCCGCTTTTTCTTGGGGGGAGACGTCACAGATGTGGCATCCTGGCCTCTTTGCCTCCCACACTTTTTTGGCTGCCTGTCGCTTTATGGCCTGCGTGTTGCAGGAGCGTATGTGTGCAGCCATGGGGACGGCACACAAACACACACACGGCACGAGAAGACCGCTCTCGGGATGGGCCCAGTGACAGGCAGTTCCTGGGCCTTTGCCCCGAGCCGGTCACCCCTCCGGAGCTGGAGATCGCCCAGACCCAGTGACCCCGGCAGTCAAGAGGAATCTCAAGGGAACCTGCCGGAGTCATCGGAGAAGCAGAGGAAACCAAAGGAGACCACAGAGTGGGCTCTGTCCTGGGCTCCTCCTGAAAGGAGATAAAACGCGACTCAACCATTCCCCCTGAATGGCATCTGCCCTTTCTTGTCTTGTGGGGGGACAAAAAGGAAAGGAAGGGGTGGGGAGAGACAAACTAGGTCCCCTTCCTAGACTCCCCAACTCAAGACTGGCCAAACCTCTAAGTTTGGTATCTCAAGATATAAACATAAATACAGACGTAGACATAGACATAGACATAGATATAGACATAAATATAGAGACCACATAGGACCAGATCCATCTGCAGAGATGAAACTAGCGACAAACAACAGTTAAAGAAAACTGCTGAAGCACCAGCAGTGAAAATGCAGCTCCGTCCCTTGGTGACTTCCGACTACAGCAAGAACCATCAGAGGCATTGCAGTGCATCTCCCCACATTTGCAGGAAGATTATGGCTTCTCTTCTTTCCAAAGAACTGAGATGGAAGTACAGGGTTCGATCCATGGCCATATGAAAGGATGATGAAGTTTAGGATGTGTGAGGACATTGCAAAGGGCAGCAAACAGGCAAAGCAGCCCAGGCCCACGGGAAGAAAGGGGTCGTCTCGGGAAGGAGCGCCTCGGGAGAAAGCTAACAGTGCCGCCCCTCTGCGGGCCTTCACCCCAGCAAGGTGGCTGTCCCAGACTGGAGCTGGACACAGACCACCAAGAGATCCCTGAACGGAAAACCAAATCTCGCCAAGTAGAAAAGAAAAAGGGCAAATACAAGGAAGAAACAATCGAGAAGATGAAGGAATGAAGTGATGTGACAAGCAACTTTCATTAAAAATTTCAAGTAAAAAACAAACAAACAATTGAGGCCTCCAGAAGGTGCAGAAGGTTCTGGAGGTAGGTGGGAGGTCAGAGGTAGGTGGGAGGGCCCCCCACCTAGCCCTGAGAGACAGACCCCTCTGCCAGTAAGGCAGCCGTGCCTCTGGGCCGGGCCCCTCCCACCCCCCCATAAGGCTCCTGGGTCCGCCACTCAGGTGCGGAGGCAGAGGACAATTTCTGTACAAGCCCCTTTTCAGCTGTTTTGGAATTCCCAACAGGGCTTCTCTCTTTCCCGCTGAAATCCTGACAGAAGCAACGTTTTCTGTTCTTGGGGCTTTGGCACAGACAGCAGGGGCTGGAGGGGGGAGAGGGAGGGACAATCTGGAAGGGATTCTACGGCCTTGACTTCTCTGTTAGGAATCCAAACCGCAATCTGAAAGCCAAACCGGTGACCGTATTAAAAGGGAGAGAGAAAAAAAAGAAGGAGGAAAATCCCCATTAAGGAAGCTGAGACCACAGGGCATTAGAGGCCGCTTGTAAATGTAATTCAGGCCGTTTATGGTGCGGCCAGGCTCCTGCCCGAGCCTTCAAAGCCAGGCAGATGCTGCCCCGGAAATATGATAAGCACCGTAGGGAAGATTACACGTGGGGCATGAATCAGATCTCAGGACGGAACTGATTCCTGAGAGCAGAGAAGACTGCCAAGCCAGACAGGGTCCCAGCAGGTAAATGGGGGTCCCAGCAGGTAAATGGATGTCCCCTCTCCTGGCTGCTATGGGCTGGGCTCAGAGGGCAGGACCAGAAGAAGGAGCAGGGGCCTTGGCCAGAGTCCTGGGCTAAAGTCCTGCAGGGGCTGCTGGCTGGCTGTGTGACCTTGAAGCAGGTCCCTTGGCCACTAGGCCCTCTGGATTCTCATCTGGAGACTGAAGGGCCCAGGCTCCATAGCTGCTCCTCTGAAGGTCCTATGATTTATTACTGAGTGGGTATGATGGAACCGAGAGAGCAGAGGAGGCGTGAGACGAGTGATAAGAGGAGCCAAGGGCTGACTCCATGCCAGGCACATGCTAGGAGCTTTTCACTGAGTTCTCTCCTTAATCTTCACGACTTTGAAGCCAGTACTTTCATTAACCCCACTTTGCCCAGGAGGAGATGGTGGCTCAGAGGCTGAAGGACTTGTCGGAACTCACACGTCTATTAAGTGGCTGAGTTGGCCTTTCCACCTGGAGGTTTGGAGCTTGGAGAGTGAAGAGGGGACAGAAGGCGTGAATTCAAACAGTTCTTTGGACTCTGATCTCACCTCGAGAGCTATGGGGAGGACTTAGGATTTTAACTGTGTGGTGGGCACATGATGGACCTCTCCTCCCTGCTGGGTGCTATGCCGGGGCCTGGGGGGACAGCCACATCAGGGGCCGACTCAGAGTTACGTAAACAGCCGTGGAGGGCGGGCTACGCCCTGGGACGTGGAGTGCCGGCAGCCCTCCCGGGGTCTCTGCCTGTCATATACAAGTGAATGAGTGAGTGAGTGAACGGAGGAGTGTGAATGGGTGAATGAGAGACGGGATGAATGAACTGACCAGGCAGGGAAGGAGAGGTGACCTTCCTCCAGGTGAGGAGACTCACCTGAGTCTCACCTGGTGGACTCAGGTGAGAAAGAGCCCCTGAAACAGCAAACCTGCCCGTCTTCCACATGACCCTCCACCACCCGCCTCTTCCTGCCCTGGCTGGATGCTCACCCTTACAGCTGGGTGGGTGTCAGC